ACAATTCAGGTTTTCTATTTCTACATCAATCAGTTGGAATTTATCTATTTCATATTTTCAAATTTGTTGGCCTGAAATTGTTTATATTATTCTTTTATCTATTTAATCCTTCACCGCCTACCATATCACCTTATATCATTTATAGTATTGTTGATTTTCACATTCTCTTTGTTTACTTAATTAATCTTACCAGAGATATTTTCAAAACACCAAATTTTGGCTTTGTTGATCTTCTCTATTTATGTTTACTTTCTTTTTCATTAATTTATGCTTCATTTTTATTACTTCTTTTGCTTTGAGCTTATTCTGCTATTTTTTCCCTTAATTTCACATGTTGAATGCTTAGTTCTTTGATTTTAAGACTTTCTTCCCTTTTCTTCCTTTAAGGCTATGAATTTCCCTCTAAACAGTGCTTGGTTGCATCCCACAAATTTAGATATATAGTAGTTTTTCTACTGTTTAGTTATAAGTATTTTCTAGTTTCTATTATAATTTTTTTAAAGATTTTATTTATTTATTTGACAGAGAGAGAGAGAGAGCACAAGTAGGCAGAGCAGCAGGCAGAGGGAGAGGGAGAAGCAGGTTCCCCACCAAGCGGGGAGCACGACGTGGGGCTTGATCCCAGGATCCTGGGATCATGACCTGAGCCAAAGGCAGATGCTTAACTGACTGAGCCACCCAGGTGCCCCAGTTTCTATTATAATTTAATTTTTAGCCTAGAAGTAGTTAAGAAGTATGTTTTTAAAATCCCAGTATGTGAAGTTTTCCAAATTTTCCATTAATTATTGGTTTCTAACTTAATTGCTTTGTGTCCCCAGGATATGGTCTGTGTGATACTAATCATTTAAAAATTTGTAGACTTGGGGTGCCTGGCTGGCTCAGTCAGTGGAACATGCAACTCTGGATCTCAGTACTGTGGGTTTGAACCCCACATTGGGTGTAGAGATTACTTAAAAATTAAAAGAAATCTTTTAAAAAATGAAAAAATAAAAATAACTTTATTGAGATATAATTCACATAACACAAAATTCATCCTTTTGAAATGTACAATATAGTGTTTTTAGCATATTCAGAGTTGTTCAACCATCAGACAATATGTAGTCTTTTGTGACTGGTTTCTTTTACTTAGTTACTTACATGCTCCATGTTGTAGCATGTATCAGTACTCATTCTTTTTCATGGCTGAATAACATTCCATTTTATGGATGTACTATATTTCATTTATGCATTCACCTGTTGACAGGCATTTGGGTTGTTCTCACTTTTTGGCTGGTATGAATAATGCTGCTATGAACATTTGAGTACACGATTTTGTGTGGATGTATGTTCATTTTCTTTTGGGTATACACCTAGAGGTGGAATTGTTGGGTCATTGGTACCGCTATGTTTAACATTTTGAGGAACTATCAAACTTTTCCAAAATGGCTGCACCATTTTACAATCCCATCATCATCACATAAGGATTCTAATTTTCCCACAATCTTGCCAACACTTGCTACTATTTTTTTGATTGTAGATATCCTAATGGGTGTGCAATTCTACCTCATTTTGGTTTTGGTTTGCATTTTTCTAATGACAAATGATATTGAGCATCTTTTCATGTACTTTTTGTCCATTAGTATATCTTCTTTGGAGAAATATCTATTCAAATTCTTTGCTCATTTTATTTTTTTTAAAGATTTTATTTATTTATTTGAGAGAGAAGGAGAGAGAGGGAGCACACAAGTGGGGGGGAGGGAGAGGGACATCAGACTGTGCTGGGTTTGGAACCTGACACAGGGCTTGATCTCATGATCCGAAGATCATGACCTGAGCCAAAATCAAGAGTTGAATGCTTAACTGACTGAGCTACCCAGGCGCCCCAATCCTTTGTTCATTTTAAAATAGGGTTATTTGTCTTTCTGTTGTTGAGTTATAAGAGTTCTTTATATATCCTGGATAAAAAATCTTTATCAGGTAAATGATTTGCAAATATTTTCTCCCATTCTGTGGGTTATCTTTTCACTTTCTTTCTTCCTTTTTTTTTTAAAAAGATTTTATTTATTTATTTGACAGAGAGAGAGAGATAGCGAGAGAGGGAACACAAGCAAGGGGAGTGGGAGAGGGAGAAGCAGGCCTCCCGCGGAGCAGGGAGCCCGATGCGGGGCTCGATCCCAGCATCCCAGGACCATGACCTGAGCCGAAGGCAGACGCTCAATGACTGAGCCACCCAGGCGCCCCAATAAATAAAATCTTTAAAAAATATATGTATATATATATATATAATTGATTTTTGTATTTTAATCTAGTATCCTATAATCTTCTGAACTTGCTTATTAGTTCTAATAGTTTTTTTGTGGATTCCTAGGATTCACTACATACAAAATGATGTCATGGAGGAATAAATCATGTCAATGGAAATAATTTCACTTCTTTCTCTCAAATCTGGACATTTTATTCTTTTTCTTGCCTAATTGCCCTGACTAGAACCTCCAGTACTATGTTGAATAGAAGTGGTTATGGAATGGACTTAAAAAAAAAAAAAAATCAATTCAAAACAATTTCTTCTTTTTTTTTTTAAAGATTTTATTTTATTTATTTGAGAGAAAGAGAGCACAGAGGGGGTAGGGTCAGAGGGAGAAGCAGACTCCCCACTGAGCAGGGAGCCCCATGCAGGACTCGATCCCGGGATTCCAGGATCATGACCTGAGCCAAAGGCAGACGCTTAACTGTCTGAGCCACCCAGGCGCCCCTGTAACTGGACATTTCTAAGGTAAAAACAGATATCCTAGAGGTAAACATTCTTTATATCCACAAACTCTGTCCATTCTTTTTTTTTTTTTTTAAGATTTTATTTATTTATTTGAGAGAGAGAGAATGAGAGAGCAAGTATATGAGAGGGGGGAGGGTCAGAGGGAGAAGCAGACTCCCCGCCGAGCAGGGAGCCCGATGCGGGACTCGATCCAGGGACTCCAGGATCATGACCTGAGCCGAAGGCAGTCGCTTAACCAACTGAGCCACCCAGGCGCCCTAAACTCTGTCCATTCTTTCTTTAAAATGTTCCCTACTCCTTTCTATTCTGGCTGCCATACCCTAGAGACCCTTATCACCATAATTAGACTCAGACACAGCCTTTTGTTAGTCTGTACGACATCAGTCTTCCTTCTCTCAAATCTTTCCCACCTACTACCCCCTGCCCACCTGCTCAAAAGCCTAAAAGGACTCTTGATATTAACCATATCAAGTCTAAACTCCTGTTTGTTTTCCAGGCCCTTTACAATATATCCGGTTTTTTTTTGTTTTTTTTTTTTAAGATTTCATCCATTCATTTGACATAGAGAGAGGCAGAGCACAAGCAGGTGGAGTGGCAGGCAGAGGGAGAGGGAGAAGCAGGCTCCCCGCCAAGGAAGGAGCCTGACATGGGGCTCGATCCCAGGACCCTGGGACCATGACCTGAGCCGAAGGCAGACGCTTAACTGACTGAGCCACCCAGGCGCCCCACAATGTATCCCATTTTGCTTTATTTCCCACTATTGCACACATACTTTCCATTTACTGCCCATACACACGGCCTGCTCATTTCAACCCATGGGACAGATTTATCTCTGTTCCCAAAGCATGGTATGAGGAGTCAGAATAGGGGTCCAGTAAATGTGAGCCAGCAGTTGGCATTTGTCTCCCTTTTGATGCCCTCCCTTTTTATATTTAATCTCACAAACCATTCAGTATCATATTCTGCTTACAGACTTCCTGAGTTTCTCTAGCTCTTATGGCCTCCATATTTATTAGGTAGAGAACAAACAAACAAACAAAAACAGAAACAAAAAGAGTATAAAAGGGAGGGAGGGAGGGAGGAAGAGAGGAATGAAAGGAGGAAAGGGGGGGAAGAAAAGTTCCACACCACAGAGAATTGGCTTTAGGAGTTACAAAAGCAAAGGGAAGAGAAGGAAAGGCTAGTAGTCTGATAACTTCCACTTTGAAGCTATTCAGGAAACAGTTCAATTAGGAATATTCATTGGCTTTCTACAGTACCATATCATCAGTATCATTCTGTTCAGAACACATATACTGTCAGTTTTCCTTGCTAAGTGTTTCAGATGCATTCATTCTGCTTCCCCCTGTAGGTTCAGGATTCATTTCTTCCTGCTTCCCTGGTGGCCCATATTGAGCTAAATGCCCCCTTCTCCATGCTCCCACGAGAACCTGGTGTTTCCTTTTAACTCAATATCTTATATTGAAAGTGTTTGTTTGTGAGTCTGACTCACCCTTAGACTATGAATTTCATGAGACAGGCTTACTTGTCTTTGTATTATCTCTATAGACTCTGTACATGTAGATGCTACAGAAATGGCCCCTGAAGTAACTAGGCTGTAAGCTTCGGAGGGTAGGAAACAAGGGTTTTACACCTCTTGTTCTTATATTATGAATAACAAGCTCAGTGTTTAGGTGTTAAGAAAAAGCTTGTTAATGTTAACATTTCTGTGCTCTGCTCTTCTCACCACCCACTCATAACCTTACCCTTGCCCATCAAACCCCAGTTACTGAGCATTTACTAAATGCTCAACAGACTCTTAACAGGTTAATACTGATGGCCACTGTGAGAGAAAAACAATGAACAAATTCTTTAATTATACTTCTGTTTAGAAATTTGTGCATAGTCTAATTGTCAATAAGAACTTCTGCCACATTTTCATACTTTCAGAGAATAGGCTTTAGAGTCAGGCAGAATTAGGTTTGCCTGGCTCCAAAGTTTATTAGACTCATGGCTCTGCAAATGCACTAGTTATTTGACCTTTGGTAGGGCCTTTTAGAGCCTTAAATTAAAAATGGAAATGACAGGGTGCCTGGGTGGTTTAGTGGTTAATGACTACCTTTGGCTCAGGTCACGATCCCAGAACCGACAGAATCTGTCTAAGTAACTATGTAGGAATTCTAAACTCTACTGAAGGCTTAGGACTTCCAGGGGAAAGCTCGCACAGTAAGTTGTGCTTAATTTTGGCTCTTAGCACAGTAGCAGTTACCTGTGGCAGACAGCAGTGCCCATGTTCCTGGAGGAGCTTGCACTTAGTTTGCTGAACCAGGGTGGGCAAAAAAGAACCCTCTCCTCCAAATATCAGGATCTGTGCTCTGATTGCTGATTCCTGCTTCTGGTCACAGAGGTACAGACAAAAAGGTGGGTGGTCAATGTTGTTGCACTTCCCCACGTTGTTGCAACCCCCTAGCTCTATAGTCAAAGTGACTTTCAGTAGATTTAAAGGGCCAGCACCCATTACCCCTTTCAATTCTCTTTTTTTCCCTTTTTGGAAGTCAGACATTATGGAAGTCATACTAGGACATTCAAAAACAACCACATATACAACCACATATGCAAATTAAAGAGTGACCATAGAAAGGCTTAGGAAAGACCTAAGAAGACCTTAAGTTTATGCCTCAGGCTGATCCTGGGCAAAGAAACAGCCTACCACAATCAATAGAACAAAATAAAAAATAACAAAAACAGCAAACCTTGGAAAAGGAAGAGAATGTGAATTCCAGAGATAGCAAATTATTAGATTCAAATGTCCAGTTTCAAAAAAAAAAATCACAAAGTATATAAAGAAATAAGAAAATATGGCCATTCAAAGGAAAAAAAAAAAAAATCAACAGAAACTGTCCCTGAAAAAGACCTGATGTCAGATATACCAGCCAACTTTAAAACAACCATCTTGGGCGCCTGGGTGGCTCAGTTGGTTAAGCAACTGCCTTCGGCTCAGGTCATGGTCCCAGGGTCCTGGGATCAAGTCTCACATCAGGCTCCCCTGCTCTGTGGGAAACCTGCTTCTCCCTCTCCCTCTGCCTGCCACTTCCCCTGCTTGTGCGCTCTCTCTCTCTCTCTGTCAAATATAAATAAATAAATAAATAAATAAATAAATAAATAAATAAATAAAAATATTAAAAAAAATAAAACAACCATCTTCAAGATGCTTGAAAAACTAAAGGAAGATGTGGAGAAAGTCAGGAAAACAATGTGTGAACAAAATGGCAATGTCCACAAAGAGTTGGAAAACCTAAGAAGAAATCAAAAAGAAATTCTGGAGCTGAAAAATACAATAATAGTAAAGAAAAATTCACTAGAGGAATTCAAAGGCAGAAGAAAGAATCAGTGGGGATGCCTGGGTGGCTCAGTCAGTTAAGCGTCTGCCTTCGGCTCAGGTCATGATCCCAGGGTCCTGGGATCGAGTCCCGCATCGGGCTCCCTGCTCTGCAGGGAGCCTGCTTCTCCCTCTGCCTATGCATCTCTCTCTCTGTCTCTCATGAGTGGATAAATAAAATCTTTAAAAAATAAAAAAGAATCAGTGAACTTGAAGATAAGATGGTGGAAATTATCTTATCTGAGGAACAGAAAGAAAAATGATGGAAGAAAAGTGAACAGAACTTAAGGGACCTGTGGGACACCACGGAGTTGACCAACATATGCATTTTAAGAGAAGGGGCATGAGAAAGAGAGAGGGGTTGGGTTGGAGAGGGAATTGGGTAGGGGGAATATTTGAAGAAATAATGGCTGGAAACTTCCCAAATTTGATAAAGGGCATGGATATAAATGAGAAGTCCAACAAATACAATGAATTAAGATGAACTCAGAGACCCACACCAAAACACATTTATAATCACTTTCAAAAGACAAAGGCAGAATCTTGAAATTAGCAAGAGAGAAGCTACTTATTATATACAGTGATTCTCAATAAGATAATTAGCATCTTTCTCATCACAAACTTTAAAGGCCAGAAAGCAGTGGGCAGATATATTTGAAGTACAAAAAGAAAAAAACCTGTCAACTGAGAATCCTATTTTTGGTGAAATCATCCTTCAAAAGTGAGGTGGAAATAAATTCCCAGATAGACCTAATTCCTAGATAGATAAAAGCTGAGGAAGTTTGTTACTACTAGACCTTACCCTGCAAGAAATGCTTAAGAGAGGTTGGGGCGCCTGGGTGGCTCAGTTGGTTAAGCGACTGCCTTCGGCTCAGGTCATGATCCTGGAGTCCCAGGATCGAGTCCTGCATCGGGCAACCTGCTCGGCGGGGAGTCTGCTTCTCCCTCTGACCCTCCTCCCTCTCATGCTCTCTGTCTCTCATTCTCTCTCTCTCAAATAAATAAATAAAAATCTTAAAAAAAAAAAAAAAAAAAGAGAGGCCTGCAAGGTGAAAAGAAAAGACACTAGACAGTACCTTGAAGATGTATGAAGAAATAAAGATTTCAGTAAGAGTTAATGCATGGGTGTTATAAAAGCTAGTATTATTGTAACAATGGTTTGTAATTCTAATTTTGTCTTCTAGATGATTTAAGAGACATTTGAAAATAATTATTAGTCTAAAAGCTAGTAATTATTAGTCTAAAAGCTGGTATCTAAAAGAGACATTTGAAAATAATTATTAGTCTAAAAGCTGGTATTATAACTTTGGGATAATTCTACATTTTGTTTATAACATAACTTAAGAGACTAATGAATTTAAAAGAATTAATAATTTATGTTTTGGGGCACACAATGAATAAAGACATAATTTGTGGGGTGCCAGGGTGGCTCAGTTGATTAAGCATCAGACTCTTAATCTTAGCTCAGGTCTTGATCTCATGGTCATGAGTTCAAGCACTATGTTGGGCTCCACACTGGGTGTGGAATCTACTTAAAAAAAGACAGAATTTTGTGACATCAACAACCAAAAGGGGTAGGGATGGAGCTGTAAAGGAGCAGAGTTTTTGTATGTTATTGAAATTAAGCTGGTACAAGTTCAAATTAGAGTGTTATAACTTTAGGATGTGAAATGTAATCTCCATGGTAACCACAAAGAAAACAGTTATAAAATATACCCAAAAGGAGTGAGAAATAAATTTAAACATTTCACTACCAAAAATTAACTAAATACAAAAGGAGACAGTAATACAGGAAATGAGGAACAAAAAAGCTATAAGGCATATAGAAAAGAAATAGCAAAATAACAGAATTAAGTCCCTCCTTATCAGTAATTACTTTAAATGTAAATGGATTAAACTCTCCAATCAAAATACAGAGATTGGCAAAAAATAAAAAATAAAACAAAAAAAATACAAAGATTGGCAGAATGGATAAAAACACATGATTCAACAATATGCTGTCTACAAGCAGCTCCATTTGTATTCAAAGAGACACACAGACTGAAAGTGAAAGGATAGGAAAAGATATTCCATACAAATTGTAATCAAAAGAGAGCAGGAGTAGCCATACTGATATCAGACAAAATATACTTTAAATAAAAAAAGGCTACAAGGTAAAAGAAAGACATTACATTAATAAAAGATTCAACAAGAAGATATAACAATTATAAACATTTACTTACCTAATGACAGACATATCATCAAAATTATGAAGCAGAAACTGAAAAAACTGAAGGGAGAAATAGACATAAAAATAATAGCTGGAGACTTCAATATCCCACACTCAATAAATGATAAAACAACCAGACAGAAGATAAAAAGGATTTTAAACAACACAATAAATCAACTAGATCTAATAGACATATACAGAACACTCTATCCAACAAGAGCACAGACATTCTTCTCAAATGTACATAGGACATTTACCAGGATAGACCATATGTTAGGCCACAAATTAAGTCTCAGGAAATTAAAAAAGGTAGATATCATACAAAATATCTTCTCTGAACACAATGGGATGAAGTTATACATCAAAAACAGAAGTAAAATGAAAAAATTACAAATCTGTGGAAATTAAACAGCATATTTAAACAACCAGTGTTTCAAAGAAGAAACTACAAGGGAAATACTTAGAAATGAGTGAAAACAAAAACACAACAAACAAAAACTTATGGGACGCAATGAAAGCAGTGCTCATGGGAAATTTATAGCTATAAATGGTTACATTAAAAACAAAAAAGAACTAAAATACAATTTAACTTTACAAGAACTAGAAAAAGAACAACAAACTAAACATAAATTTAGCAGAAGGAAAGAATAAAGATTAGAGCAGAGATAAGTAAAATAGAAAAACAATAGAGACAATTAATGAAACCAAAAGTTAGTTCTTCAAAAAGATCAGCAGCATTGATGAACCTTTAAGTTACTAAAATCAGAAATGAAAGTGGGAACATTACCACAAATTCTACAGAAATAAAGAAGATTTAAGAGAGTACTATGAACAACTGTATGCCAACAAATTGGAGAACCTAGATGAAATGGACAAATACCTATAAACACAAAACCTATCAAGACTAAATCACAAAAAAATATGAAATCTGAATAGATCTATAACTAATAAGGAGATTGAATCAATAATATACAATCTTCCAGCAAAAAAAGCTCTGAACCTTTGTTCTTCACTGGCAAAATCTACCAAACATTTAAGACTACCAATCCTTCTCAAACTTTTCCAAAAAATTAAAGAGAAAAGAACACTTCCTAACACTTCCTAACTGTGAGGCCAGCATTACCCTGATATCAAAACCAGACAAAGAGACTACAAGAAAACTACAGACCAATATCCCTTATAAACATTGATACAAAAATCCTCAACATGATACTAGCAAAGCAAATTCAGCATATTAAAAGATTATGCCACAACTAAGTGGGATTTATTCCTGGAATGCAAGGATGGTTCAATATACAAAAACCAATCAATATTATACAGCATATTAACAGAAAGAAGGAAAAAACCTCTACTTGATCATCTCAAATGATTCAGAAAAAGCACGTTTCAATTCAATTCAATACCCTTTTATGATTAAAAATAAAACACTAAAAAACTAGGACTAGAAGGAGACTACAATACAACTTCATATATAATACAGTTGCATATACAATTTCATACATTTCAATATAATTTTATATATGGCTACAATAAAAGCCATATATGAAAAATCCACAGCAAACATCATACTCAATGGTAAAACAGTGAAAGCTATTACTCTAAAATCGGGAACACTTCTATTTAAAATATTACTGGAATGGGCACCTGGGTTGCTCAGATGGTTAAGCATCTGCCTTCGGCTCAGGTCATGATCCCAGGGTCCTGGGATCGAGTCCTGTGTCAGGCTCCCTGCCTAGCAGGGAGCCTGCTTCTCCCTCTGCCTCTGCGTCTGCCTCTCTCTCTGTCTCTCATGAATAAATAAATAAAATCTTAAAAAAATATATTACTGGAAGCTCTAGCCAGAGCAATTAGGCAAGAAAAAGAAATGAGGCATCCAAACTGGAAAGGAAGAAGTAAAATTATCTCTGTCTGCAGATGATATTATCTTATATGTACAACACCCTAAAGATTCCACACAAAACTGTTAAACTAATACATGAATTCAGCAAAGTAGCAAGATACAAAATCAACACAAAAACTAGTTGTGTTTCTTTTTTTTTTTTAAGATTTTATTTATTTATTTGACAGAGAGAGAATGAGAGAGAGAGAGTACATGAGAGGGGGGAGGGTCAGAGGGAGAAGCAGGCTCCCTGCCGAGCAGGGAGCCCAATATGGGACTCGATCCCGGGACTCCAGGATCATGACCTGAGCCGAAGGCAGTCGCTTAACCAACTGAGCC